AATACCAGTCAGGTGGCAAACCCAAGAGTAGTGTGTAAAAAAAAAAATCATTGATAATGATTGGTTGATAATGAAAACAACAAATTTTTTATGATTTCTAACATACACTTCTAAGTAAAAGCTAAACGTGTAATATTATAAGATGTTAGCTTTGAAAGGTGATATCAGAAGCACCAGGAAATATATATATATATATATATATATATTGATGGTGGCATGCCAACATCTTATCTTTGGAGCACTTGAAGAGTTTTGCTATGAGTGATTTTTGCTGACTATATTAAACACCGTTCAAAGCTACGTGTTTCAAAAGAAAAACACAGAATGCTTGGGCTTGTCTGGGATTTGAGTCCTGGACCTCTCGCACCCGAAGCGAGAATCATACCCCTAGACCAACTAGCCAATACAATTTGCTTTTGGGCGTTAGAATAAATTGCCAGACCAACCCGCCAGACAGAATTCGTGTTCTCAAAATAGCCACAAAGTTTTCATTTTGAAGTGGGGATTTTAAAATTCCTCAATAGGATCTGTTTTTCCAATATTATTTATATGTCTGATATTACATTTCTAATTTGAAGGAGGGATTTGAGCAGGTGGGGCAACATAAGAGCAGGACTGATTTATCATAACATGTGGATTTGAAGAGTTGGGGAAAAAAAGGGAGTAGATTCACAATCATATATATATATATATATATATATATATTTTTTTTTATGTAACCCTAACATTTCAACATTTCAACATGTACAAGTCAATCATTGCATGGGTGAATTAACAGTTGAGGTTTATGTACAATGGCGATAAATCATATTGACTGTTGTCAAAGTTGAGTCTGCATCAGGTCAAATTGCTGTGGAAGACTTAAAAGGGCCAGATTAAGAGCCCAGTGGGCCTGGTGCTGACAGTTATGATGGGGCCTAATTACAGAATCTTATCGACCAAAAACACTAAAACAGTCATACCTCCCATATCTGATGGAGATGGTGTTGGAGGGAAACTCAAAAGATGCAGCTATAAGAATACACATACTCTGTGCTAATCTCTCTTTAATTTATGCTTTCATCTTTCAAGTAAATCCATACCCCCTAACAGCAGTGTCCAGTGAAGCAGTCAATGGGTGGGGGGAAATGGTGGGCCACTGACGTGAATCACGTGACCAGAACTGCCAAAAGGGGAGAGCATGCCCAAAAAGGGGGCATGTCTGTCCAAAGAATTGGATGCCCAATCCCCTAGTCTTCCCGTGTCTCAGTGTCCTCATTTCTCCCCGTGTCCCCATGCCTGTGTTTCCCTTGTCACTAGGATACTAGGGGACACTGAGAGACATGTGGACACAGTGAGACATGTGCACACAGTCAGACATAGGGACACTGAAACACTTGGGGGCACTTGTGGATACAGACGTGGGGACACTGGGAGACATGGGGACACAGACACTGGGAGACTAGGGGACACTGGGAGACATGGAGATACTGAGACACTAGGGACACTGGCTGGGAGGCATGGGGACACTGAGACACTTGGGGACACTGTGAGACATGGGGGCACTTGTGGACCCAGACATGGGTACACTGGGAGACATGGGGACACTGAGACACTAGGGACACTGAGAGACATGGGGACACATACACTGGGAGACTAGGGGACACTGGGTGCCATGGAGACATGAGACACTAGGGACATTGGCTGGGAGACATGGGGACACTGGGAGACATGGGGACACTCAGAGACATGGGGACACTGAAACATTTTGGGACACTGGGAGACATGGGGACACTGAGACACTAGGGACACTGGCTGGGAGACATAGGGAGACTGGGAGACACGGGGACACTGAGGACACTGGCTGGGAGACATGTGGACACTGGGAGACAGATATTTGGGGACACTGGGACACATGGGGACAATGAGACTCTAGGGACACTGAGAGACATGGGGACACAGAAACTGGGAGACTAGGGGAAACTGGGAGCCATGGGGATACTGAGACACAAGGGCCATTGGCTGGGAGACATGGGGAAACTAGTGTCTCCCAATGTCCCTATGTCTCACAGTGTCTCCAAGTGTCTCAGTGTCCCCTAGTGTTTCAGTGTTTCCCTGCTGCCTTTCCCCAAGCTGTTGTCTGTTTGCAGACTGGGAGCTGCTGTCTGAACTCTCTGTGCTGTGTAGCTGCCCCCCCCCACGGATCAGTGAGTAGAGAGAGGCAGAGAGAGATATGCTGTAACTTCCTATCCCTGCCTCTCTCCACACACAGTGGACCCCTACTAGCTGGTGCTGGTATTGCAAAGTAATCTCCATTTATACAGAGAAAAATATCTCCATTTGTATTGCCGGTATTACTGCAATACCGGCACTGACAGGCAGCCCTAAATACCTGTTGTGCTGGTAAAATACCAGTCAGGTGGCAAACCCAAGAGTAGTGTGTAAAAAAAAAAATCATCGATAATGATTGGTTGATAATGAAAACAACAAATTTTTTATGATTTCTAACATACACTTCTAAGTAAAAGCTAAACGTGTAATATTATAAGATGTTAGCTTTGAAAGGTGATATCAGAAGCACCAGGAAATATATATATATATATTGATGGTGGCATGCCAACATCTTCTCTTTGGAGCACTTGAAAGGTTTTGCTATAAGTGATTTTTGCTGACTATATTAAACACAGTTCGAAGCTACGTGTTTCAAAAGAAAAACACAGAATGCTTGGGCTCGTCCAGGATTTGAACCCGGGACCTCTCGCACCCTAAGCGAGAATCATACCCCTAGACCAACGAGCCAATACACTTCCTCTTTGGGTGTTAGAAAAAATTGCCAGACTAACGCGCCAGACAGCGTTTGTGTTCTCAAAATAGCCACAAAGTTTTCATTTTGAAGTGGGGATTTTAAAATTCCTCAATAGGATCTGTTTTTCCAATATTATTTATATGTCTGATATTACATTTTTAATTTGAAGGAGGGATTTGAGTTAGTCATTGCATGGGGGAATTAACAGTTGAGTTTTATGTACAATGGCGATAAATCATATTGACTGTTGTGAAAGTTGAGTCTGCTTCAGGTCAAATTGCTGGGGAAGACTTAAAATGTCCATTCATTTCTTAATTGTTGATTAGGGCTTTGTTGGTTTAGGAGAAATTTGTGGTTCAAATATATGTTGGAAAAGCACATGTAGGATTTCTTTTTCTTTCTCATATTCTGCATGCTATCACCATGTTGAAAATAAAGTAAAGATGTGCAGAGGAGAAATTAATTCTAAATAGTCTTGTGCAAAATAATGTTTGGGGAGGTTGACCTGGTACCATAACTGGAATCCACAGCCAAACATAACGACTGCTTTGAATTTACCTTTACAGTTTATTCATCGACACATTCAGGCATGTACTGGAAGGAGTTTGATTCGGACCTACCCTCTCCAACATATATTTGCACAAGTCTAAGTATGAATAAAAAAAAGAATTCCGTATGTCAAAACATATAATTGTTTTCCCTTTGTTTGTTGTTAACAAAGAATTTGCAGTCTTAAGAAAGACTTTGCCGTCTTAAAAGCGTCATCTGAGCAGTTAGGACTTGCATTAATGACTTATGATAAACCATTGATTTTAAATGGTTGATAATGAAAACAACACATTTTTTATGATTTCTCTCATACACTTCTAAGTAAAAGCTAAACGTGTATTAATATAAGATGTTAGCTTTGAAAGGTGATATCAGAAGCACCAGGAAATATATATATATTGATGGTGGCATGCCAACATCTTCTCTTTGGAGCACTTGAAAGGTTTTGCTATAAGTGATTTTTGCTGACTATATTAAACACAGTTCGAAGCTACGTGTTTCAAAAGAAAAACACAGAATGCTTGGGCTCATCCAGGATTTGAACCCGGGACCTCTCGCACCCTAAGCGAGAATCATACCCCTAGACCAACGAGCCAATACACTTCCTCTTTGGGTGTTAGAAAAAATTGCCAGACTAACGCGCCAGACAGCGTTTGTGTTCTCAAAATAGCCACAAAGTTTTCATTTTGAAGTGGGGATTTTAAAATTCCTCAATAGGATCTGTTTTTCCAATATTATTTATATGTCTGATATTACATTTTTAATTTGAAGGAGGGATTTGAGTTAGTCATTGCATGGGTGAATTAACAGTTGAGGTTTATGTACAATGGCGATAAATCATATTGACTGTTGTCAAAGTTGAGTCTGCTTCAGGTCAAATTGCTGGGGAAGACTTAAAATGTCCATTCATTTCTTAATTGTTGATTAGGGCTTTGTTGGTTTAGGAGAAATTTGTGGTTCAAATATATGTTGGAAAAGCACATGTAGGATTTCTTTTTCTTTCTCATATTCTGCATGCTATCACCATGTTGAAAATAAAGTAAAGATGTGCAGAGGAGAAATTCATTCTAAATAGTCTTGTGCAAAATAATGTTTGGGGAGGTTGACCTGGTACCATAACTGGAATCCACAGCCAAACATAATGACTGCTTTGAATTTACCTTTACAGTTTATTCATCGACACATTCAGGCATGTACTGGAAGGAGTTTGATTCGGACCTACCCTCTCCAACATATATTTGCACAAGTCTAAGTATGAATAAAAAAAAGTATTCCGTATGGCAAAACATATAATTGTTTTCCCCTTTGTTTGTTGTTAACAAAGAATTTGCAGTCTTAAGAAAGACTTTGCCGTCTTAAAAGCGTCATCTGAGCAGTTAGGACTTGCATTAATGACTTATGATAAACCATTGATTTTAAATTGTTGATAATGAAAACAACACATTTTTTATGATTTCTCTCATACACTTCTAAGTAAAAGCTAAACGTGTATTAATATAAGATGTTAGCTTTGAAAGGTGATATCAGAAGCACCAGGAAATATATATATATTGATGGTGGCATGCCAACATCTTCTCTTTGGAGCACTTGAAAGGTTTTGCTATAAATGATTTTTGCTGACTATATTAAACACAGTTCGAAGCTACGGTTTCAAAAAGAAAAAATTGGGCTCGTCCAGGATTTGAACCTCGGGACCTCGCACTCTAAGCTTAGAATCATACCCTAGACCAACGAGCCAATACACTTCTCTTGGTGTTAGAAAATTGCTAGACTTAACGCTGCCAGACAATGCTTAGGTAAAATAGCCACAAAGTTTTCATTTTGAAGTGGGGATTTTAAAATTCTCAATAGATCTGTTTCCTCCCAATATTATTTATATGTCTGATATTACATTTTAATTTGAAGGAGGATTTGAGTTGGGTCATTGTATGGGTGAATTAACAGTTGAGGTTTATGTAAAATGGTGATAAATCATATTGACTGTTGTCAAAGTTGAGTCTGCTTCAGGTCAAATTGCTGGGGAAGACTTTAAATGTCCATTCATTTCTTAATTGTTGATAAGGGCTTTGTTGGTTTAGGAGAAATTTGTGGTTCAAATATATGTTGGAAAAGCACATGTAGGATTTCTTTTTCTTTCTCATATTCTGCATGCTATCACCCTGTTGAAAATAAAGTAAAAATGTGCAGAGGAGAAATTAATTCTAAATAGTCTTGTGCAAAATAATGTTTGGGGAGGTTGGCCTGGTACCATAACTTGAATCCACAGCCAAACATAATTCCACTTGGTTCTGTTTCCAGTTATTCATCGAATATTCAGGCATGTACTTGAAGGAAAGCTCTGATTCCGACCTACCCTCTCCAACATATATTTGCACAAGTCTAAGTACATGAATAAAAAAGAATTCGTATGTCAAAAACATATACCTAGTTTTCTTTGTTTGTTGTTAACAAAGAATTTGCAGTCTTAAGAAAGACTTTGCCGTCTTAAATGCGTCATCTGAGCAGTTAGGACTTGCATTAATGACTTATGATAAACCATTGATTTTAAATGGTTGATAATGAAAACAACACATTTTTAATGATTTCTCTCATACACTTCTAAGTAAAAGCTAAACGTGTATTAATATAAGATGTTAGCTTTGAAAGGTGATATCAGAAGCACCAGGAAATATATATATATATATTGATGGTGGCATGCCAACATCTTCTCTTTGGAGCACTTGAAAGGTTTTGCTATAAGTGATTTTTGCTGACTATATTAAACACAGTTCGAAGCTACGTGTTTCAAAAGAAAAACACAGAATGCTTGGGCTCGTCCAGGATTTGAACCCGGGACCTCTCGCACCCTAAGCGAGAATCATACCCCTAGACCAACGAGCCAACACACTTCCCCTTTGGGTGTTAGAAAAAATTGCCAGACTACCGCGCCAGACAGCGTTTGTGTTCTCAAAATAGCCACAAAGTTTTCATTTTGAAGTGGGGATTTTAAAATTCCTCAATAGGATCTGTTTTTCCAATATTATTTATATGTCTGATATTACATTTTTAATTTGAAGGAGGGATTTGAGTTAGTCATTGCATGGGTGATTTAACAGTTGAGGTTTATGTACAATGGCGATAAATCATATTGACTGTTGTCAAAGTTGAGGCTGCTTCAGGTCAAATTGCTGGGGAAGACTTAAAATGTCCATTCATTTCTTAATTGTTGATTAGGGCTTTGTTGGTTTAGGAGAAATTTGTGGTTCAAATATATGTTGGAAAAGCACATGTAGGATTTCTTTTTCTTTCTCATATTCTGCATGCTATCACCATGTTGAAAATAAAGTAAAAATGTGCAGAGGAGAAATTAATTTTAAATAGTCTTGTGCAAAATAATGTTTGGGGAGGTTGGCCTGGTACCATAACTTGAATCCACAGCCAAACATAACGACTGCCTTGAATTTACCTTTACAGTTTATTCATCGATAAATTCAGGCATGTACTGGAAGGAATTTGATTCAGACCTACCCTCTCCAACACATATTTGCACAAGTCTAAGTATGAATAAAAATAGAATTCCGTATGTCAAAACATATAATTGTTTTCCCCTTTGTTTGTTGTTAACAAAGAATTTGCAGTCTTAAGAAAGACTTTGCAGTCTTGAAAGCGTCATCCAACAGTTAGGACTTGCATTAATGACTTATGATAAACCATTGATTTTAAATGGTTGATAATGAAAAATACACATTTTTTATGATTTCTCTCATCCACTTCTAAGTAAAAGCTAAACGTGTATTAATATAAGATGTTAGATTTGAAAGGTGATATCACAAGCACCAGGAAATATATATATATATATATATATATATATTGATGGTGGCATGCCAACATCTTCTCTTTTTCTTTCTCATATTCTGCATGCTATCACCATGTTGAAAATAAAGTAAAGATGTGCAGAGGAGAAATTAATTCTAAATAGTCTTGTGCAAAATAATGTTTGGGGAGGTTGACCTGGTACCATAACTGGAATCCACAGCCAAACATAACGACTGCTTTGAATTTACCTTTACAGTTTATTCATCGACACATTCAGGCATGTACTGGAAGGAGTTTGATTCGGACCTACCCTCTCCAACATATATTTGCACAAGTCTAAGTATGAATAAAAAAAAGAATTCCGTATGTCAAAACATATAATTGTTTTCCCTTTGTTTGTTGTTAACAAAGAATTTGCAGTCTTAAGAAAGACTTTGCCGTCTTAAAAGCGTCATCTGAGCAGTTAGGACTTGCATTAATGACTTATGATAAACCATTGATTTTAAATGGTTGATAATGAAAACAACACATTTTTTATGATTTCTCTCATACACTTCTAAGTAAAAGCTAAACGTGTATTAATATAAGATGTTAGATTTGAAAGGTGATATCACAAGCACCAGGAAATATATATATATATATATATATATATACATATATATATATTGATGGTGGCATACCAACATCTTCTCTTTGAAGCATTGAAGGGTTTTGCTATAAGTTATTTTTGCTGACTATATTAAACACAGTTCGAAGCTACGTGTTTCAAAAGAAAAACACAGAATGCTTGGGCTCGTCCGGGATTTGAACCCGGGACCTCTCGCACCCAAAGCGAGAATCATACCCCTAGACCAACGAGCCAATACACTTCCCATGGGGCTTTAGGAAAAAATTGCCAGGCTAACGCACCAGACAGCGTTTGTGTTCCCAAAATAGCCACAAAGTTTTCATTTTGAAGTGGGGATTTTAAAATTCCGCAATAGGATCTATTTTTCCAATATTATTTATATGTCTGATCTTACATTTCTAATTTGAAGGAGGGATTTGAGCAGGTCGACCAACATAAGAGCAGGACTGATTTATCATAACATGTGGATTTGAAGAGGTGGGGAAAAAAAGGAGTAGATTCACAATCATATTTTTTTTTTTTTTTTATGTAACCCTAACATTTCAACATTTCAACATGTACAAGTCAGTCATTGTATGGGTGAATTAACAGTTGAGGTTTATGTAAAATGGTGATAAATCATATTGACTGTTGTCAAAGTTGAGTCTGCTTCAGGTCAAATTGCTGGGGAAGACTTAAAATGTCCATTCATTTCTTAATTGTTGATAAGGGCTTTGTTGGTTTAGGAGAAATTTGTGGTTCAAATATATGTTGGAAAAGCACATGTAGGATTTTTTTTTCTTTCTCATATTCTGCATGCTATCACCATGTTGAAAATAAAGTAAAAATGTGCAGAGGAGAAATTAATTCTAAATAGTCTTGTGCAAAATAATGTTTGGGGAGGTTGGCCTGGTACCATAACTTGAATCCACAGCCAAACATAACGACTGCCTTGAATTTACCTTTACAGTTTATTCATCGATAAATTCAGGCATGTACTGGAAGGAATTTGATTCAGACCTACCCTCTCCAACACATATTTGCACAAGTCTAAGTATGAATAAAAATAGAATTCCGTATGTCAAAACATATAATTGTTTTCCCCTTTGTTTGTTGTTAACAAAGAATTTGCAGTCTTAAGAAAGACTTTGCAGTCTTAAAAGCGTCATCCAACAGTTAGGACTTGCATTAATGACTTATGATAAACCATTGATTTTAAATGGTTGATAATGAAAAATACACATTTTTTATGATTTCTCTCATCCACTTCTAAGTAAAAGCTAAACGTGTATTAATATAAGATGTTAGATTTGAAAGGTGATATCACAAGCACCAGGAAATATATATATATATATATATATATATATTGATGGTGGCATGCCAACATCTTCTCTTTTTCTTTCTCATATTCTGCATGCTATCACCATGTTGAAAATAAAGTAAAAATGTGCAGAGGAGAAATTAATTCTAAATAGTCTTGTGCAAAATAATGTTTGGGGAGGTTGGCCTGGTACCATAACTTGAATCCACAGCCAAACATAACGACTGCCTTGAATTTACCTTTACAGTTTATTCATCAATAAATTCAGGCATGTACTGGAAGGAATTTGATTCAGACCTACCCTCTCCAACACATATTTGCACAAGTCTAAGTATGAATAAAAATAGAATTCCGTATGTCAAAACATATAATTTTTTTCCCCTTTGTTTGTTGTTAACAAAGAATTTGCAGTCTTAAGAAAGACTTTGCAGTCTTAAAAGCGTCATCCAACAGTTAGGACTTGCATTAATGACTTATGATAAACCATTGATTTTAAATGGTTGATAATGAAAACAACACATTTTTTATGATTTCTCTCATCCACTTCTAAGTAAAAGCTAAACGTGTATTAATATAAGATGTTAGATTTGAAAGGTGATATCACAAGCACCAGAAAATATATATATATATATATATATATATATATATTAATGGTGGCATGCCAACATCTTCTCTTTGAAGCACTTGAAGGGTTTTGCTATGAGTTATTTTTGCTGACTATATTAAACACAGTTCGAAGCTACGTGTTTCAAAAGAAAAACACAGAATGCTTGGGCTCGTCCGGGATTTGAACCCGGGACCTCTCGCACCCAAAGCGAGAATCATACCCCTAGACCAACGAGCCAATACACTTCCTGTGGGGCTTTAGGAAAAAATTGCCAGGCTAACGCACCAGACAGCGTTTGTGTTCCCAAAATAGCCACAAAGTTTTCATTTTGAAGTGGGGATTTTAAAATTCCGCAATAGGATCTATTTTTCCAATATTATTTATATGTCTGATCTTACATTTCTAAT